TGTAAATTAAAAATTGTTATTTTACAGTGATAATCTTGTTTTCTTGTGCCCAATAATGCATAATTTCATTTGATAAACACGTTTAGATTGAATGGTAATTTATAATAAGTCACAAGAACGTCGAATCTGAATCACTTGAAAAAACACGGGGGTGCTTAACTTTTTTCCAGGTGTATATTAACCCTCATGTCCAAGTTTGTTTGCTCCTAGTATATGCCTGTATTTACTTAAAAGTAATGTAGACGTTTCTTTATTCTTATTATACAACTTTCTAAATTAAACCTTCATGCCGAGGTATATATTTACCTGGTCCATTATTTTTATACGAAACGTCTAGGATTCGTTTTTTTTCTCCTGTTAGCTCACTATACAAACTGTAAACGTAATGTCGAAGTTTTTGTTTCTATGTTATAAAGGTGATGTTGTTTTTTTCCTAGTAAATGGCCCTTCACAGTTCAAATTTATTTTCTTGATTCCTAGAATTAAGTTTCCGACTGTATTTTATTATTGTTTTTATCGAACCAGTTCTAAACTTATGAGTTGGTTACAGAAATGAGGAGTACACAAGATGGCGATATTTTCTTCCACTGCGACAGCGTTAGATGGCCAAAGAATGCAGGACACATTCCTATGAGTAGTTCACGTGATTCTGAACAGGTTAGAGATAGGCTAAGAGAAGAATGTCAAAATTGGAATTTTCTGCCAAGGTTCAATGTTTGAAATTTAAAACGTTGAAGCGGTTAGTCGTAAACGTTTCTATTTAAACGATTTTCATTAACGAAAGTCGTTTAGTCGAAACAGTGATCTCCTAATTGTTTTCCTCTTGCAGTAATTTTCCCCACTTTCTCCAGTTCCTTTTCTTCTTCGGTGTTATTTAATTATGTCTGGAAGGAGAAATACTATGATCGTGAAAGCTTTAATTTTATCGAATATATGTTTATTTTAAAACAGTTGTAATGCTTTAGCCAAACGTTTTCCAATAAGTTAATTCATTAAAAATGACTTCCATTCTACCATAGTTTTAATCTTTCGTGTCCCAATACTGTTCGATATAGTGTTTTATCTTTTGAAGGCTGACAACCCATTGACAGGTGTCAGTGATAACAAACAGTGTGAAAATAAAGTGACGTTCTATACTGATATTGTTTTACAATTCTAAATACGCGATGTTGAACAAAACATTGTACTTGATAAGTCAACCATGTTGTATGTACTATAGAGAATTGACCAATTTTCTGATGATTTTTGATGCTAACAGAGTTTAAACATGTAGAAAAAAGAAAGGCATACAAATCATATAAGCTGATATATATATATATATATTTCATAAACTTACTATATACGTGGGAGTTATTTTGTCATGTTATCTAAGCCTAATTTACTGAAATATTCATGAATCGAATCTAATACTTCCAACGTATTCAAATATTTCGACATTAATTACATTATGCATAATTCTTGAGTCCAAGCTTTATTTTGTGTGATTTGTCGTGCTTATAATATGACTTTGGTAATCCGATTTACTTAAAATTACCAATTCCAATTTCATACTGATATCGATTTGAGGCTTTGTATCACCTTTGTATCTAACAATATCTTCATATAGCCTTAAATTATGCATCAGTTCTCGTTTCTTTCTTGAAGGAAAGACCAAGGCCGGCTCTTGACAGTTTCGTTCCCCAGGTTGCTACTGTTCATGGTCTCTCCCAGGAAAGCGGATTACGAGTGAAAGTCTTACCATCGTCACCAGTCCTCAGGCGAAGCATTCCTGGAGAAGTGATGGAATTAGCTGTTTCCGAAGAACGTAATACAGAGGTCTGATGCTGACATTCAGGTATACGTTTACCGAGTTTAATTATTCAAACTAAAAAATACCATTGGTCTGGGAAGGTTATGTTACATCAATAAATGGTGAACATGCAGCAAAAGTTTTTATTATAATGTGAAATGTTTTCAATAATATTAAAACAACTATCTGGTGGCAATTTGTAAACGTATTAAGTAAATATATCGAACAAATTGTGTTGGCTTGTTTCATAATTAATCATATTTTTAGTTATTTGTTACACTTTACCATCTTCAGACTAACGAAAGGGTATTGAACTGGATGCAATAAAGTTACACTTTACTATATTCAGACTAACGAAAGGGTATTTGAAAAGGATGCAATAAAGTTACACTTTACCATCTTCAGACTAGCGAAAGGGTATTGAACTGGATGCAATAAAGTTACACTTTATCATCTTCAGACTAACGATAAGGTATTTGAGAAGGATGCAATAACATTACACTTTACCATCTTCAGACTAACGAAAGGGTATTGAACTGGATGCAATAAAGTTACACTTTACCATCTTCAAACTAACGAAAGGGTATTCGAAAATTGATTGTTGTTGGCTTTGAATATTAATTTAAATACAGGACTTCTTTTCATTCAAAGGCAGAATAATGCGTCATGATCCCAGATACCCTATTGAAATTACATGATTACAGATACCATAAGTACCTGAATAACGTTGAATGTAATAGCTCACCTATTGGTAAGAATCAAGTATAATAATGCGTCATGATCCCAGGTACCCTATTGAAATTACATGATTACAGATACCATAAGTACCTGAATAACGTTGAATGTAATAGCTCACCTATTGGTACAAATAAATCCTAGTTTAATTAACTGTGTCTCTAATGGTAAATGTAAACATTTATCTTCCTCACTTATGTGCGACCAGATGGCGTTGGATCACTTCAATATTAAACGTTCTATAATTGTGTGTAGTAAGCATATATATATATATATATATATACGTTCCTGATCGCCTTGTTTGCCTTATTTATATACATTATGCGATGGCGATTGATCTGTAAAATGTTATACAAGAAGAGAGTTATATGAGGTTTCATTCACTCAACGCTAAAGAGTTATCAGTATAACGAAATATATGAATATTTATGTATGATAGGATTTGTGAATTAGTGTCTGTTCAAACTAAATAACATTCGCCAAAATGCTTATCTACATCAAATTCAAAATTTTGGTAAATATACAAGATATTTGAATTACTCATTGAAATAATGGATAGTTTTTATTTGTATAATAAACCCATTGTTTATCAATATCCATACTTAAGTTTCTTTTCCTAGTAGGGTTTAAGAACTTTAATGGACTGCAACTGTTTGAAAAAGGCCTCAGTACAGAAATGTTGCCCACTTTTCTTTCAATAAGCTGTTGTAGTCCATTTAAGTTATAAAAACCTACTGTGTTTACTCTGTCTAAAGTTACACTGGAACAAAATCTTTTCCTACCCATTGGGTAGAAAACCTTGTTACAGATGAGAATCAAATAGTATCTCGTCAACATGAACTATTTCTGAACTATTTGTTCAAATAATCAGGTAATATAACCTAAAATTCTTAAGACTTTTTGCTACACTGATGATATCTGCATAACGTTTTTAATTGATTGATATTACAATACTATAATTGTGTAATCTGTAGAGATAAAATTAATAATTATTGTAATTTTTTGTTCAAGGTCTCCATGCTCCCTCATTGGATATCACAACTGTAAAGTAATATTGTGCCTAACGAGTACGATTCGTTTCACGCAACCCCAAGGAAACATGGGTTTTGTTGTGTATACGTAGCTTTGGGACGAAACTCTACATGTATGTAATCCGGTTTTGATGCGTACAGAGAAAATTAAATATTAATTAAATCTTCGCGAAACCTGAAGAAGATACAGTAATTCAAATATTTTATTAGGAGATTGTGTAGTTTGGTTCAGCTTTCAGCTTTCCAGAAAAAAACTATTTTCTCCCTTTTTTCAAAACCACGAACAGAGAAGGAATAGTCAGAAAGAAACTGTCTTCTTGAAACGATAACCGGTAACAAGACTCCTAAAGAATGCCTGGTGTAATGTGTTCAAGTTTCAAACAAAAGTCTATAAAACCAGATGGATGAAGCTTCAGTTACCACAGAACACTATTTCAAAATATCTGCTATTTGCTAAAATTGTATTTAATCTGTAATGTTTGTTGCACGTATGGTGGCGATGTCCTCTGAAGTCCGACCATAATCCTTCCCACGTAAGCTGTTTTCGTATAGCGCAAGCGAAAAGCCTGTCTTTTTTGTGGTCATACAAAAATCCCTGTTAAAGTTTATAGTCATTTTGTGACTTCAATTTTAATGATTTATTGTGATTTTTGTAAAAGAATTCATTGTAAATAGGAAACAATATCAATAAAAGCAATTTAACTGTATTGTGTTAAAAGTACGACTTTATATCCAAAAAAAACACCTACATAAAAAAAATTCAATTTTTTAACTACGAATGTTACGATCTAGAGGAACATTAGAAACTCCAGCCAATAAATGTTACGATTTAGAGGCACAGTAGAGACTCTAGCCAATAAATGTTACGATCTAGAAGCACAGTAGAGACTCCAGCCAGTAAATGTTACGATCTAGAAGCACAGTAGAGACTCTAGCCAATAAATGTTACGATCTAGAGGCACAGTAGAGACTCTAGCCAATAAATGTTACGATCTAGAGGCACAGAAGAAACTCCAGCCAATAAATGTTACGATCTAGAGGCACAATAAAGACTCCAGCCAATAAATGTTACGATTTAGAGGCACAGTAAAGACTCCAGCTAAGTTGGATAGAGAAATACTGTGATGAATCTATATACAGGACAGAAGTTTTGGCCAAATTTAGAGTATGGCTAAACCTGCTATAAACGCTAGGATGCCACTAGTGAAGTTGGAGTACGGTATATTAATACCATTTTGGAGCTTCACAGCGTCCAGTGCATGTTGTCATGTCCGGTCATTTTCCATCTGACGCCGTGCGACTTGACGATAGCCCTGCAACACAGTTTTCATTGCAAAAAGTTTCAGTTTACGGCTGGAATGTTGTCCAAAGCACACCTATCCTCACTGCTTACTTTCCATTAGCCATCTAGTGTAGAGGAGAACTGTTTACCAGCAGTTGTTTAAACAGCCCGATCACACAGGCAACTTGACCGGTAATTTCTTCGTATAGAATAATATGAATACCTGTTTCATTCTCCATTTACTTGAGTGAGGTAAGCGACATTTGAGCGAGAGATATGACTGGAATCCTTATCTTTAACTTATCTACTTTTACATTACATTCTTTAGAGAGTTTGTCCTTTAACATAAGCTGGCTGGCTACTTTAATCTAAATTGGCGTATTTACTTTTTACTTGCAAAATGTTTTGATCGGTTAAAAAAAAATTACACACTTATGCATCTGATTTTCACCATCTATTTCTCAGGGAGGGGTGGGTGGATAAACTATGTATTTATTCGTGTTTTTTATGTATTGGTGTTTCAATTTCTGTAAGAAATGCTTAAATTAAATCTTTATTATTTAATTCTATATAATACAGATTTTTGAATGTTAAAACTAGTTTCTTATTATTATGTAAAAATTAATCTTTCAGCTTTAACTTCTTTCTCAACACAAGTTAGTTGTAAGTAGTTTTTTTCATATGACCAACTATTTGTAAAAGTAAAATCAGAGTTTTCTTGCATTTGATATTACAAAGAGCAAGCCCAGTGGGAGTGAATGTATCTCCCGTGGCTTTCGATTATATAACTCAAGAATTGTTTGAATTCATATTTAATGAACTTAGTCGATCAAAAATAATCTCAACCTAATAGAGCCATTGATGTCATTTATAAAAATGACATTGGCACAAAAGATTAGCAATTGTAAAAAAATTGCATATAGATAGTTGCATCATTAATGGATTGTACATTAACATAAATATATTAACAATGTGTAGTGTGCAACGTATTTAACATTAATAGAAATACTTCGTGTATTTTTTTTCGGCATCATAGATTCTTGAAAGAGTTGTGACAACAAACATGAAACATGTAATCTGATTTTAACATGTAATCTGATTTCAAACTGTTCTTGTACTAAAAATATTCGTTTTCTTTCGAATAAAGACCTATGCTAAACATCAACTTCGTTTTTCCAGTATTCAACTCGGTAGTGAAGAATCCTTTTATGAGGAAACGTGTGAATACAAGATTCAAATATAGAAGATCGTGCTGGTAATACCCAATCATAAGTTAAGAAATCCGATCGGTTTCGGAAGGTAGGCCGCCTTTTTCATTCCCCCAATCACGCATTAAGATCCCGGATTAAGAAGGGAGATCTAAATTTCTAAATGTGCTCGTGCTATCAGATATTTTACTCTGGGCTAAAATAGAAATTATTTCAGCGCCCTTTGTGAAAATATCTGCTTATCTCTTAACTCGTTATTAACTAAAACAGTATAGGTTTTCCTCAGAAAATCACGCTAAAGACATTCAAGGATGACATTAATAACGTTTTAGTACATGGTCTTCAACTGACAAATTCTGACATTCAAGCTTTCTGAAAGAAGGAAGTTAGAGAACCGTGTTTTGATATTTTAAAGTTCAAATCTTAAACACGATGTACAGAAAATGTAAAGAGTGTATAAAATAAAACGCATTATATACTGTCAAATATTAACGTACTACAAGTTAGCGATAATGCAGGGAATTCCAAAACATGCTGAAATGATAACGTGGTCAGAAACTCTACTTGAAGTTAAATAAAGTGTAACGATGGCGATATATATGAATTTCCTATTAGAAATCAATTTTTAAAGAAAAGTTTTAACTGAGTAAAAATTGTATGTATTAAACATAACATAACAAAAAATATTTAATATACGTTTTTGATAGATATAGTTTGACTCGGGTTGAATCAAGTAAAAGTTGTCGTGTTTTATTGAAAAAAAACATAAATCTATAATAGTTTGACTCGGGTTGAATCAAGTAAAAGTTGTCGTGTTTTATTGAAAAAAAAAACATAAATCTATAATAGTTTGACTCGGGTTGAATCAAGTAAGAGTTGTCGTGTTTTATTGAAAAAAGCATAAATCTACAATAACATTATCTCTGTTCCCAAACATTTCATTAGATTTTACGTAAAACATCTTAAGATAAATTCTTTTTAGCTCGTTTTACTGATGTTAGTATCGATAGAGAAGCATGAACTGTGAAATCTGATGCAACTGTCACAAATTCTAAATGCTTTTACACATGGTTAAATAACATATTTTAACTGGATTTAAAGAGATTTAAATCTGGTCGTTTGAAGTGATGCCAAACACGTCATCTTTATTTAGAACAACTGAAGCCTCTGTTTATAGTTGGTAAGGATTTTACTGCCGCCATTTTATGAAACGAAACAGTGTACTTTCGTTATGTGAAATGGTTCACGAAATAATAATGCAGCTAAAGTCCAGAAAGAGTTATTTATGTATTGATTTTGAAATTCATGTGTGCCTGTTTAATATATACTTCCAAACTAATAAACTGAATCCCAGTTTTTAAGTTTCCAAGATATCTAACCAAATTGCCTGTAGTAATGATTTATTTATGAATCTGTTTTGTTTGTTTGTTTGAAGTTAAGCACAAAGCTGCACAATGGTCTATCTGTGCTCTGCCCACCACGGGTATCGAAACCCGGTTTCTAGCGTTGTAAGTCCACAGACATTCCGTTGTGCCACTGGGGGGGCATTTTTGAATCTACAATTAGGTGATGACATCTTACTGCGAAGTGGCTTAGTTCGGTTATTAAAAGGTTGAAAACTTATTTTCAATCAAACAGATAAATTGTAACCGCTGGCAACTAAACATGGACGAAATGTGTTTGCTGTCTTCCCTTAGCTAAATATACCCATGGTGAGCACAACAGAATGTATAGCTTTGTGCTTTACAACAAATAAAACAAACAAAATTAGCTAAATATTGTTCACTGGATGATTGTTTAAATGTATTCTCACATATTTATGGAATAGAATACAAAACTATCTCAAAATGTCCATGTCTCTCAATATAAAGTAGTTTTCAAATTTCAAAGAGCATTATTGAGAGACATATCCGAAGACTTTTTTTTTTCTTATGCATGTAGTGCATAATGTAAAATATTAAAAATAACAAAATAGAATTTGTTCTCATAACACCATAAGTTTGTTTTCATAGCACCATAAATTTGTTCTAATAACACCATAAGTGTGTTCTCATAACACCATAAGTTTGTTCTCATAACACCATAAGTTTGTTTTCATAGCACCATAAATTTGTTCTAATAACACCATAAGTGTGTTCTCATAACACCATAAGTTTGTTCTCATAACACCATAAGTTTGTTTTCATAGCACCATAAATTTGTTCTCATAACACCATAAGTTTGTTCTCATAAAACCATAAGTTTGTTTTCATAACACCATAAATTTGTTCTCATAACACCGTAAGTTTGTTCTCATAACACCATAAGTGTGTTCTCATAACACCATAAGTTTGTTCTCATGACACCATAAGTGTGTTCTCATAACACCATAAGTGTGTTCTCATAACACCATAAATTTGTTCTCATAACACCGTAAGTTTGTTCTCATGACACCATAAGTGTGTTCTCATAACACCATAAGTTTGTTCTCATAGCACCATAAGTTTGTTCTCATAACACCATAAGTTTGTTTTCAAACCATAATCAGCTAATTACTCTATTCACGTGGTGGTTCCATATTGTTCTCCACCCTAACTTCGACACTCAACACTCAACATTCGTAGCTGTGCTGAGTAGGTAATTGGTAGCAGCTTGTCCATGAATCCAGCAGAATGAACTTCTAATACAGAAGAGTTGGACTGCAGTCTTAGAGTTTCATTAAAGTCATGGGTGACAGATTTAAGCCAGATATAGAATTTCATTTTATAGCGCGTTTCAAAGTTCACATGAACCGAAAGGCGATTATTTTTAAAAGTCTAGACAGTTAAATTTTGCTTTAACAACGCTACTATATTTTTCCTTTTTCAGCGCATTACAAACATTTAATTTGAATAAGAGAAGATTGGATGAAATATCACGGTACTGCTATCATTAATACTTTATCCAATCGCCGATCCTCTTTGAATTTCCGTGAGTTCCTTTATGTCACCTTGATACCTACTGGATTGTCGGATTCACGTGTAAATTCAATGTTGTAAGTCCCAGTAATAACTGAGGAATAATGAATGCTCATTCGTACAACGCTAAAATCCGAGGTTCGATTCCCCACGGTGTATAAAACAAATAGTGTATTTTTGAGATAATTCAATTTAAACCTAATCTATCATTGATTTTCCAACATTCCCCAATTCTTTTGCTGAGATTCTTATCTTAGGTCACAATATAATAAGCTGTTCAT